TTGTTACTCAGGGACAGACAGAATTGTTACTGAGTGCCAGAGAATTGTACATCAGACAGGCGAAAGATTGTTACTGTACTGAATGGACAGAGTGATTATTGTTACTCAGGGACAGATCAGAATTGTTACAGTGCCACACAATTGTTACTCGGACTTGGTACGCAGACACAGAATTGTTACCTCAGGACATGCACAGAGACATTGTTACACTCAGGGTTACAGACAGACATTGTTATGTTGAGTGCCAGGGCAGAATTGTTACTCATGGACAGACACAGGATTTGTTACTGGTGCCACGGACACAGAATTGATTACTCAAGCGGACAGACAAATCAGAATTGTTACTCAGAGGCCACAGAATGTCCAGAGACACAGGGAACAGGACAGAATTGTTACTGAGTGCCAGAGGAATTGTTACTCAGGATGTGTATGCAGGGGCAGGCCACAGAATTGTTACTGAGTGCCAGAGAATTGTTACTGAGACACAGTACATGACACAGAATTGTTACTTAACTTGCACCTGAGACACAGAATTGTTACTCAGACAGACACAAGAATTGTTATACAGATCGTAATACTTGCACAGACCAGAATTGTTAAACAGAATGTTTGTTGGGACTAACAGGACCAGAAACAATTGTTACTCTGGAGGAATTGTAATGTTTATGACAGATGTTCAGACAACTGGAATGTTACTCAGGGACACCTAATCGTTGAATCTTAAATAAGTAATGTCAGACAGCCAACATGCAGAGAGTGGCAGAGGGAGGCAATGTTTTAGGGATGAGCAGCAGAGTGGATGCAGCAGAGGAGCAATTCTTTATCAGGTCAAGGCAGCAGTCATAGAGCCGCAGCTAGCCAGAGGCCAGGTGCTCCGGTGTCATCCAGCGGTCGTGTCTCCACCGACAACCCTGCCGTCATTGATTGGTTGGCTCGTCGTCTTCCTCTTCCCAGGTCACCTCTGACACCTACAGCCAACGGTCGGTGGGTACGTCAGACACAACCGTTAGAGTGGCATGGCCCGGGACCAAGCCCACTGAAATCACGTGTCCTCTACTGCCCCTGTCCTTTGCTGTTCCCTCACCAAGCGAAGTATCGCATGCTGTGGGCTCAGCCCCACTGTACAGTGAGGAAGCTACGCTAACAGAGGGCGGTCAGGAACGGGGGGAGACATCGGCCTTTTCAGCAGCCAAGCTGCGAACAAGTACTGGCGAGGAGAGTGGCTCGGTAGCCGGTCTAGAGACAGGTCTGTCTCCTGACCCAGACGCAGCCGAGGGGGCTAGTAGTGAGCGGAGACCCTACTTGATGATGAGGAGGTTGATCGCACTTGGCAGCCTCGTCGTCATCAGGCATTTCTTCCGCATCATCAGGAGAAGAGAGGGTGGCAGCTTGGCAGCGAGCAAAACAGTCGGTGGGTTGCCCAGGAGACAGCAGCAGGGTCGCATCAGTGTCAGTGGAGCCAAACGTCCACGGGTAGTAGAGCACCAGCTCCACTGCAGCCTACCACCACGGCCAGTAGTGGTGGCCGGTGCGCGCACGGAGGAAGTAGCAGTCAGCCAGTGAAGAGTAGCGGGGGCAAAGTTTCCTACTCGGTGGTGTGGCAATTTTTTCCTCAAGCCGCCCGAGGAAGTAAACGTAGCCGTATGTCGACTATGTGGCCAGAAATGCAAGCGTGGCCAGGGGGCCCATGTTGGGACTACAGCGTTGCGTCAGCATATGCAGCGTCACCATTCGGTGGCCTGGGAAAACCGTGATAAACATACGGCGGTTTCTGCCTGCCCCAGCCCCCGCTCCATCACCCGCTCCGTTACTTGCTCCGTCACCCGACGTCGTCAATCGCCCCTCTATCCTCTGCAGCCAGTCAAGGCTCCAAACACCTCTGCTGAGGGGAGTTGTCGCTCGTTGGCATCTTCCGCTCGTTCAGATGCTCCTTCTCCTGCTACTCCTCTTCTCGGATTCCGTCAACAGTCTTTCTTGGAATCCGTATCCAAGAGACAACAGTTTGCGAGCACGCACCCGACGGTGCAAAAGCTGAACGTCCTCCTGTCCAAGTTGCTGGTGCTGCAGTCCCTCCCTTTCCAACTGGTGGACTCAGCACCTTTTCCGAGAAATGATGGCTTGTGCCGCGCCGCGGTGGAGAGTGCCAAGCCGTCATTTCTTTGCCCAAAAGGCAGTGCCAGCCCTGCATTCACATGTAGAAGAGATGGTGGGTGCCAGTCTTTGAGCATGTCGGTCTCTGCCAAAGTGCACGGCAGCGCCGACGTGTGGAGCTGTAACTACGGTCAGGGACAGTACATGTCATTTACGGCCCACTGGGTGAACGTGGTGCCGGCACAGCCGCACCAGCAACTTGGACAGGTCACGACGCTTTTGCCTCCACGTTTGCACGTCCTTGGTCCAGCAAGCATGTCCGCCCTCTACCACCTCTTTTTTCCGCCGTGTCCTCAGTCCTCCACCCCCGTGCCCCAAGTAACCATTACCCTTACCGTGCATATCACCAGTGCAGCCCCTAAGGCCAAGCAACGGTATCACATGTGCAGGGCGCAACGGTGTCACGCTGCTGCACCTGGTATGCCTTGGCGAACGTAGTCAGTCACACAGGGGAGGAACTGCTGAGTGTAATGAACAGAGAAATCGACAGATGGCTGTCTCCGCGCAAACTAAAAATCGGAACCATGTTGACTGACAACGGAAAGAACATGGTGTCTGCTCTGCGTCAAGGAAGGTTGTGCCATGCGCCATGCATGGCTCACGTGTTCAATCTGGTTGTCAAAGCGGTTCCTAAAATCCACCATCCCACTGCAAGACATCCTTAAAATGTCACGTAAACTGTGCATGCATTTCAGCCATTCCTACACCGCAAAGAACACCCCTACATTGAGCTGCAGCGGCAGAACGGAATTCCACAGCATCGCCTGATCTGCGACGTTGCAACAAGGTGGAAATTCAACCCTACACATGTTAGACCGCCTTTACGAGCAGCGAAAGGCCATCACCGATTTCCTGATGTTACAAGCGGATAAAGGTACTCCCCTGTGTAACTTAGATGTCAGCCATTGGCAGCTCATGCGTGACACCTGCCGCTTGCTCAGGCCCTTTGAGGAGGCCACGCTATTCGTGAGTCGCAGGACTATGGGATGAACGACGTCATTCCTCTGTTGCACGTCCTGGAACAAATGCTGTTAACAATGGCTGGTCAGGGTGCGGTAGACGTGGCGCACAGATCTCAACGCCACATGACCCCTGTGGGGGCAGGACAGGAAGAAGAGGAGGAGGTAGAGGAGGACATTTGTGCTCAGGAATTATTGAGTGAAATGGGTGGTTTTTCCACTCAGCGGACAGGAGTGGAGGAGCAGGAGCATCTGGTAGAGGAGGAGAGAGGAGGAGACAGAGAGGACCCAGACGCACCGTGGCAGTATGCTGTGGAGATGGAGGCAGGGAGTCCCTCGCATTCCTTGGCACAAATGGCCCATAGCATGCTCGGTTGCTTGCGTAGCGACAGCCGAATAATAACCATCAGACAGAGGGATGACTTTTGGCTGTCCACCTTGTTGGACCCTCGCTACCGGTCCAAAATGGTGGCCTTTTTCACACCTGCTGAGAGGGAGGCCAAAAATTACGTACTATAAAAACCACCTATGTAGTCAGTTGGTCTCTGCCTTTGTGCGCCAACGTCCATCCTCAGACACTGTGGGCCCTGTGCGCTCGCGTTCCGCTGCATGGCAGCAGGGGAGGGGTGGGGGTGGTAGGAGCAGTGGCAGCTCCACCAGCAGCGGCTGCCTCAGTCTGCAGTCGATGATGAGTAGCTTTCTTCACCAGCGCAGTGAGGAAACTACTAACCAGCCGCACAGCAGCAGCAGCAGCATCAGGTGGACCTGGAGCAGGAGCTCAAACAACAGGCTTGGGCCTACTTGGACAGCACCCTGCCAACCGAGGTAGACAATCCCCTTGACTACTGGGCAACGAAACTTGACCTTTGGCCCCAACTAGCTGAATTTGCCCTTGAAAGGCTGTCATGCCCGGCCAGTAGCGTGGCATCGGAGCGCGTGTTTTTTTAGTGCGGCAGGAGGTATTGCAACTCCGCGGAGGACACGACTGTCCACCCAAAGTGTGGAGAGACTCACGTTTGTGAAAATGAATCAGGCGTGGATTAGTCTGGATTTCAAACCACCAGTTCCTGACACAACTGACTAAATCCGCCATGAATCATGCCCCAAACATGTGCCACTTTCAGGTCTCCTCACACTGCTGGTGTGTTCCATTTTTTGTCATAGGGTGCTGGCAGATTACGGGCCTCCCATAGCTGCTGCCAGGCCCCTAATCTGCCATGGGCCCCTATACCGCCTCCTCATGCTGCTGCCAAGTCCAGAGTCTCTCATGGGTCCCTGTACGGCCTCCCATTGCTGCTGCCTCCATCGCCACACTCTGCCATGTGCCACTTTCAGGTCTCCTCACACTGCTGGTGTGTTTCCATTTTTTGTCATAGGGTGCTGGCAGATTACGGGCCTCCCATAGCTGCTGCCAGGCCCCTAATCTGCCATGGGCCCCTATACCGCCTCCTCATGCTGCTGCCAGGTCCAGAGTCTCTCATGGGTCCCTGTACGGCCTCCCATTGCTGCTGTCTCCATCGCCACACTCTGCCATGTGCCACTTTCAGGTCTCCTCACACTGCTGGTGGGTTCCATTTTTTGTCATAGGGTGCTGGCAGATTACGGGCCTCCCATAGCTGCTGCCAGGCCCGTAATCTGCCATGGGCCCCCGTACCGACTCCTCATGCTGCTGCCAGGCCCGTAATCTGTCATGGGCCACTGTTGTCGCTTGTTGGCATATTCCGCTCGTTCAGATGCTCCTTCTCCTGCTACTCCTCTTCACACGGATTCCGTCAGCAGTCTTTCTTGGAATCCGTTTCCAAGAGACAACAGTTTGCGAGCACGCACCCGACGGTGCAGAAGCTGAACGTCCTCCTGTCCAAGTTGCTGCTGCCAGGCTCGTAATCTGTCATGCGCCCCTGTACCGCCTCCTCATGCTGCTGCCAGGTCCAGAGTGTGTCATGGGCCCCCGTACCGACTCCTCATGCTGCTGCCAGGCCCGTAATCTGTCATGGGCCCCTGTACCCGCCTCCCCATGCTGCTGCCAGGTCCAGAGTGTGTCATGGGTCCCCTGTACGGCCTCCCATTGCTGCTGCCAGGCCCGTAATCTGCCATGGGCCCCTGTACCGACTCCTCATGCTGCTGCCAGGCCCGTAATCTGTCATGGGCCCCTGTACCGCCTCCTCATGCTGCTGCCAGGTCCAGAGTGTGTCATGGGTCCCTGTACGGCCTCCCATTGCTGCTGTCTCTATCGCCACACTCTGCCATGTGCCACTTTCAGGTCTCCTCACACTGCTGGTGGTTTCCATTTTTGTCATAGGGTGCTGTATGGCCTCCCATTGCTGCTGCCTCCACCGCCACACTGTGGCTCCACACTCTGGTTTTGGCCCCGTGACTGCCCAAATGAGTGAAGTGTGCGGTGATTCTAAGATCGACGGCACTCATCTGCATGTCATACTGACTGACAGTATTATTTCTCTTCCCCAGCAGACTCCAAGGGCATTTAAATTAAAGGTACAGTGTTCTGCACTAATATTAAGTCTCTCTGAAGCCTAGAAACACCCTTTTTTTAAGTTAAATTCACAGCGAATTTATTCGACTCGAATCGAATATTGTCCACGAATTCGCCGAATCAGTCGAATCGAATTTTTCATTTCTTCGCTCATCTCTATTTAGTATGTTTCAGTGACAGACCAAGAACAAGCATGTAGTAAAAAAGTGTCAGAACTGCTTATCTTCTTACTCATTCTGGGTCAACAATGTATTAAAATCAAGGCATAAGAATGACAGCCAGGGTACTGGAATTCTGAAATGGCAGCCCTCTTTCTTTTTTTTTTTTAACAGTGCTGGCATGTTGGTGCTGTGTCATTTTTCGCACAAGACTGTGATGTTTTATTGCTGACAGATCTATCCAGGTTTGATTTAAAAAGAATAAAAGTTTGAATAAGATCTAAATAATGGATAAAAAGAAAATGTGATATTGTATCCACATCTCTATTGTTAAGTGTGTTGAAGGGCTTTTGGTAAAGATCAGGAATTAGAGTAGATAGGGAAAATATCATTTTTCTGTATGGTGGTGGAGTTTACACTGCATGGCAGCATTACAGGTGTGATTCAAGATTATTTTGGGGGTAGTTCCTTCAAATTAAAGGGGTGTTCCATTGGTTAAAGGAAAACCCTGCATTGGTCCCTTGAGTTGGTCTTATGTAGGTATCTGTTCCTTTGAAAGAAAATCAGCTCCAGTGCTGACACAGCCTATTCAGTGTGGTGTAACTCCAGACTTTTCAGAACAGCTGGATTCTGAGCTTCTTTCGAGTTGCAACAAAGTTGGCAGAATATTCCAAGTACAGCAGAAGCCTCAGACCATAATTTGTTTAGGTTTGAGAACAGTTGTTTGGCTAGGGCTTCAAACATTGACAGCCACACTGGTGCACAATGTGAAGCAACCACAATGAGTTTCAATGCCTTCCTATTAAATGTGGCTCAGCTCCAGTCAAAACATTTTAAAAGTTTTTTAGGATACAGTTATCAACCCAAAAGCCTCTTGACAGTTTTTCACTGCAAACTTGTCAAGTTGTAAATCTTGTAAAGCCACCAATACATCTTTCCTCCCTTTTGGAGTTTCACTGTTTGCCTTGGGGAAGGGACTCTTGGTCTGGGGACACATCCCAGCACTGGAGAAGAGGTCCCCTCTGCATCACATGACCAGCTTGAAGACATTAGGAAAAGTTAGGTTTAAAAGAAAAATTTACTGGTCTGGGGCAGGAAGTGAGGGGAAAATATCATAATGAGGCCACAGAAAAAAGACAGAGACTTTAAACTTTACATAGTTGTTTTGCAGTTGCAAGCTGTGCAAGATTCTGATCTTTGCTTCACTCCTTGGTTAGTCATTGACCTGGAACAAGCATTCAGCAAGAATATTTAATTGTTTTAGATTAAGCAAGGACCAAAAAGGAAGCCACACTGTCCATATTTCTATGCCTTGAAAGTCTTTGAACATAATTCTCAGTCACTAGAATTTTTTTGTTGAATTTGATTGCTTTGTGGAAGAAAAATGATTGGATAAGTAACTGATCTCAGAAAGCAAGCACTATAAAATAAATAAATACATTGATGAATTCATATTATAATTACAAATTGAAAACAAGTGTTCAAGCACACAATGTCCATCTTAGATCTATAAGATGATATAATAAAAATGTCCATCTCATTCAACTAATAATATTCTGTTTGCTCTCATCACAAATCCCAAACGTATCCGACTGAAAAGCACGACACATGTTGTAAGCTTTGAACAATCAGATTAATACATCAAACAGAACATCATATCGTGTTGTGTGTTGGCCTTTTTAAGATTTAAGCAGATTGTGATGTGTGTGTGATGTGGTTATCAAGTTCTACAAAAGTGTTCTTTATGGCTGTCAGTGAGATTGTAAAATCCGCAGTCAGGCAGGAGCAGTCTGTGATGCCCCTGCAACCCCCACTGGGAGTGATGGAAGAAGATGTGATGAGTTGGGATTAGTGGAAATGTTGCTTTATAAAATGCAGTATCAAAAAAAAAAAATCTTTTCATCATACAGAGTATCAGTATGCAATGTACAATACAAAATCTGAAGCCGCTGCTGTTGTTTTTAATTGGAAGCTGAAGTTTTACAATTAGTTTCTTTAAAGAGGGGCTGGTACCTTGACTGGATGATCAACCTTAATAATAACTTTATATCTGCACTTTGTCACCTGCTTGCTTGTATACTTACTTTATGGGAGGTTTACACGTGTTTTATTATGAAAACAATTCTTTATATTAGAAAAAAACATTAGTAGCCAGTTCAATTATTGTCATTATTTATTTACATCTCCTAGTTTGTAAGCTCCAAGGAGCAGGGCCCTCCTTTCCCTCTTGTATTGAACTGTATTGTTGCTGTATTGTCTCCCATTATATTGTAAAGCGCTGAGCAAACTGTTGGCGCTATATAAATCCTGTATAATAATAATATTAATTTACATCAACTTTATCTACATCTTCAAAGTGTTTTTCATGTTTCACTATTCCTTCATATACTTTCATGTACTTAAAATGGAAGTTCAGTTAAAATCTAACTAAGGCTAAACGTACTCCCACCCCCATTCTAAGAATGTGCTATCGACCTTGTGAAAGAAAAGTTGCATATATTTACCTATTCTAAAGCCGTTCTAGACTCGTCACATAATCTCTTCATTGGCGGCTTTAGTGAAGAGAAGAGATTGCCAACAATGGCTGCAAATGCCTATTCGGTGATATCATCCATAGGTTTATAATGGGGCATCCATTGTCAGCATGCCCCTCTTCTACACTGAAGACAGCGTTGGGACCTGATCATGAGACCAAACCGGAGAGGCTTCAGAATAGGCAAATATAAGCATCTTTTCTTTCACAGGGTAGATTGAATAGTCTTAGAATGGAGGTGGACGTAGGTTTAGATATTGACTGAACGTCCACTTTAAAGCCCAACTCTCCGTAAAGATTGTAAAAATCCTCCCTTGCAGCAGAACTGCTCCCAGTATAATTGCTTCTCTGGGGAAGTAAAAGCACTTTTTTTCCCAATCCTCCTCTCCCCTGGAAGATGGTGCTCACCCTTGTGTCTGCAGTGGAATGTCCCTCTGCGTTAGTACTATGGACCCTGCAGTGGTCTTGATGACATCAAGACCTAAGACCAGTAGAGAGTAGGGGAGAAGATGTTGCGGGGACTGGTCTAGCAGCATGGTGGAGTAGAGGATCAGGTAAGTAGATCTTCTTGTTTATGTCCCATAGACCTAAACGAGAAATTTATTGTAGTGCAGGTGCAGCCCAGAGTTGGGTTTGACAGTGTATTTATAACCAAATATATAGAAGAAAAGGTTTATAAATCCTGCCAATTTATTTTTTACTGAGTGTGTCCCATTGGGGAAGTTTCCCTTCACTCCCTGTCTTGGAGATGCACAAGAAGGTGAGGCGATATCTTTACAAACTCCTTTCTGGGTTGTCACTGGAACGGTTATGCCCATTGTAAGGTTTTCCCTTCTATTCCTATTCCAGTGTCATCTCAAAATTGGTGATTTTCCTTCACTTTAAGTTCCAGGGACAATAGTTATTCGGACAAATAGTGATGGGGAATCTCCTAGTAGAAACACAGACAGCAGAATAAACTTGTTAGAGGTTGTAGTCAGTCTTTTAAACTGTGATACACATAGATATGCATGCATTTATAGGTTTAATGTCTTGGATAAACTGGAGAAAGCTTGAAAACATGGTTATCTTTTTTATTGTCTCTATTCCCGTTGTGGGAATTTCTCATCACCTTCTGTGTCATCTTTGAGACAAAAGATGAGGAGAAATCTCTCCGATTGACAAGACTTCCTGGTTTTGTTAGAGTGCTTTCAGCTCACAACAAGAAAACTAGCAGGTATAAAACACATACTCCAGTCTATAAAAATATTTTAGTATGTATTGCACATTAAAAAAATGCAATTCAGAACTTTTTTTTTTAATTTAGTGTTTGATTTTTTTTTTTAGATCTGTCAGCACTGGCTAAGCCAATGTTTCTGGAATTACCTGGACTGGAGTGAGATATGCCACTACTTTGCTGTGTGCATCCTTCTTGGGGTGGATTATCAGGTATACCTGTGCATAGCAATATTCAGGCACCTGCAGCAAGAAATCCTACAACATACACAAACACAGGACCTTCAGATCTTCTTGAAAGTAAGTCTATCTAGAACAAATAAATAAATCAAAACTACATTTTTGATAACCTCATGACTATACAATATATCTACTCAGACTATGGAAATTTATGTAAATACAAATAGATGGAGATTCATATTATTATGTGTTTGTTCTGGCACACAGAGCAGCTTTAAAGGAAACCTGTCACTCCTGAATACAATGCTAACTGAAGATATGTCTGAGGTACATCATCTAGAGCAAGTGCCTACATACAAACTCTTGTACAACTTCTAAATCTGCCACTCCAACCCTGCGGTACAGGCAGCACCTAAAAAATACACATTTTCGATGGGAGGCAGCACAATCTTGTGCAAGCTTTTCAACAGTCTTAGACGTGCATTGCACCTTCAGACTACAGGTTGATGGATAGGCAGAGCGTGCCCTCTACAAGTGACAAAGCCTGTAAAGATGGCAGTACCAGCAATGGACAATATTACAACCATGGGAACAACCTGTGCAGCAACGTTTCCTTAATGACACATTTTCTTTAATTCCTTCTTACCACCCACCCACAGCATCCAAAAATGCTTATAAGTGTTTTGGTTGCTTGGTCCCACCAATGAAAACCTTGGTTTTCTTTCACTGGCTTCTACTTTGCTACTGTGTCCTGTAGTGTATGGTTGTTGAGAGGATCCAGAGAGAACACAGAGAGGGACCAGGAATCCAACACTTTTGGAAGTGTTGCATGCAGACGCTTTTGAGGCAGGGTACGTGAATATTGGCGGCTCAGGCAGCGGGATAGATAGGTACTAACTGTATTTTTTATAGACTAAGCTTTTTTTTTTTGGCTCACAAA